AAGTGGTCTATATCGACCTCTAGGGTCTGTGACAACCTGCAAGGGGTCTACGTCAGCGAAAAAAAATTTGGGGGTCCATGAAATGAATATGGGGGTCCACGATAGTGGATCTCAACACTTACACTGATAGTACCTATTTACTTACATCATACTATCTTAGAATATCAAAACATATACATTATTTATAAAAGTACCTATGAAGTAAAACATTTATTATATATGTTTATAAAATTGTGTAAGTTGTAGGATGTTGATATTCGCTTTGTGGTCGCAATACATTTTGAACTTGTAAAAACCTGAGAGTCGCAGTCTCAGAGCTTCGCTACCTTGCACTGACTTGTTCAATTCGTCACTCTGTAAAGACGAATGTGGGACAAACACGTTTTTTCGTTTCCTAAATCTTGAAAAGGAAAGTGCTAAGAATATATTTTAAAAAATATAAACAGGTAGTATATCACACAAATTATAGTGAGTCAGTGTTATTTTGTTTGAGAGTGCTGGAGAAAAGTGAGTACATTATTTTTTATTAAATTTTAGTTTTGTACTCGTAGTTAGCAAAGATAGATAAATTACGCCAATCGTGACTTTAGTTATTAGTAGTTAAATATTCAATCATGCAAAATTACACGAGTACTCCTCAATAGTGTCTTTTGAAAGTTTTAGCAATATAATTACAGTGCAATCTCCGTAATTCGAGCTAATTGTTGCAAGATGTTCGAATTATGGAATGTTTTCGGAAAAATCAAAAAATATTCTTAATATACAGCTGCTGGATTTCCTGTATTATTTAAATAATTTAATTTTGCCCACAGATGACTGATGCCATGTCCGAATCTAAAAAGAAATGTAGACAGTACAGTGTTGATTATTTGAAATTTGGCTCCATTCCATCATGGCCGGACAAACAATCGCCTTTTATGCAACAAAGTTTTGGGCAATGACGCTATGAAACCATCTAAACTGCAAGATTATCTGAGAAGATGCCACCCTGATGAAACAGAGAAAGATTTGAAATATTTTCAAACACTCAAGGATAAATTTCAGAAGAGACCTACACGGGACAGAATGTTCGCTTCGATGTCACAAAGAAATGATGATGATTTGCGGGCGTCTTACAATATCTCGTTACTTATAGCAAAAGCCGGAATACCGCATACTATCGGAGAGAAGTTAATTTTGCCAGCCCTTGAAGAGGTTTCAAAAACTGTTTTACACAAACCTGCATCTGATATCATTAAAAGAATTCCCTTAAACAAGAATACTGTTGAAAGACGTATTGATGAAATGAGTTCCGATATTGAAAGCTTCTTATGTAATTATTTGCAAACGATCCATTTCTCTATACAACTGGACGAGTCAACTTTACCTGATAATGCAGCATTATTATTGGCATATGTTTGTTTTATTATGAATCAAGAAATCTACGAAGAACTGCTCTTCGCAAGAACTTTGATAACCGACACTAAAGGTGAATCAATATTTCATGTTTTGAAGGATTACTTCATTGAAAAAGCAATTCCTTTATCAAATATAATATCAGTAGCTACAGATGGAGCACCTGCCATGGTTGGACGTTATCGTGGATTTATAAGCTATTTAAAACAAAATGTGTCAGGGGTGTTAGCAATACATTGCGTCATCCATCGACAACATTTAGTTGCTAAAAATTTTAGTGTTAGATTGCATGAATTACGTCATTTAGTCATTGATGCAGTAAACCGAATCCAAAGCAACCCGTTGAATAACCGGTTATTTGCGCAGTTGCGTGAAGAAAATGACGAACACTTTCATCAATTACTCCTTCTCACTGAAGTACGCTGGCTGTCAAAAGGCTTATGTCTGACGAGACTGTTTGCACTTTTTGAGACTATTTTAGAATTTCTGGATACTAAAGATAAAATTTTAAAAGAAAATTTAATGAAGAGGAAAACAGACATCGCCTATTTAACAGATTTGTTTACAAAATTTAATATGATTAATTCGCAATTACAAGGCGACAGTTTAAATTTGATTAAAACAAAGTCCATCATATCAGCGTTTCTTGCCAGAGTTAAACTAATGAAGCAAGATATTGGGCGGGGCGAATTTTCTCAGTTCCCCAATTTGTCACAGATAAGCTGCCAGGAAGACGACGTTTCAACTTACGTTCAACTTTAGATGCCCTCTATTCAGATTTTGAATCTAGGTTTGAGGATATTTTGACTATGGTAATACCACCGTGGATAATTAATCCATTTGGTGACATAGAAGAAACCAATGTCATAATACAAGAGGAACTGACTGAACTAAGTACAAACGAAGAACTTAAGGTTCAGTTTAAAAACGGATATCAGCAATTCTGGCTGCAAAAAAACATACCCGTTACTTATCCGGTATTATGGAATATAGCGAGGAAATTTTAATTTCCTTTCCATCGTCATACCTAGGGGGTTCAGCGCTGTTACCAATCTCCTAACGAAAAAAGAAACAGACTGGACATCATTAGCCGAGGAGATTTAAGATTAACCCTTACAAAATTGACGCCAAATATTGATAATTTATTATTAAAGCATCAGGTTCATCCTTCTCACTAAAAATATTGACTTATTGCTTATGTTATTTTATTTATAGTTTATTTTATGTTTATTGGTGTCTGACCAATAAATGCCCGCATCGAGAATAAATGCCCGCATTGATTTTTTAAAGAACCCCCCTTTATAGAAAATATTTTTTTTTAATTATTCTGAAAATTCAAGGATAAAATTCGTTAATTTTTTGCCTATTTTTAGATAACTTAAACGTATAAGAAGCGGAATTTAATCAAACTAACGAACTCGCTTATAGTACTATTTTAAGTAAAACACTTTTTTTTATTATTTTTCACTTTTTTCTTATTTTATCCCTCTTATTTTTTTTTCAATGCGGGCACTTGTTCTCAATGCGGCACTTATTGGTCAGACACCTGTTTATTTAATGTTACGTATATTTTACACAACAGATACAAAATTTTATTTTGAGTAGTTTTAATTTAAATTCAATTAATAAATGTATAAATTAACATGTGTTTTTGCTTCAAGTTTTTAACACTGAACTTCACTACAGTTAGAAATTTATAGGAAAATATCAGGTAAGCAGGAGGTCTACCCAACACGGAAAAACATCGCAAGGGGTCTACGACACAAAAAGTTTGGGGAACTCTTGTTTATCAGATCAAGAAGTGGGTGTTGCATCATGGTAACGCCCCTTGTCAAACAGCAAAGCCAGTAAAAAGATTCATAGCCTTCCTTATTCACCTGACTTGAGTCCTTGTGACTTTTTCCTCTTCCAGAAGTTGGATAATCACTTCGGGGGAAGTAATTTTGTGTCAGTCGACGACATTCACAAGGCAGTAACCGACTTATAGACCTCGTAAGTCTAAACAGAAACGGGGAATATAGGTTTAGCTTTTTTGTGACCCAGTATATGTGTGGGACAAATTTTGGAACTGAATTTTGAACCAATTAAGCTGAAATTTTGTACGCACGCTGGGTTTGCATGACAATACAGAATGACGTAATTACCGCTATTTTGAATCCCATATATGGTGCATCATTTCCGTAGTAAACTCTGTGTTATTGATATCAAATGAAAAGGCTTGACGAGAGAAACGTAGTAAACAATGTGACGTCATTATAAATCAAATATGGCCACCGCCTCAAGGAGCTAACTACCATAGTCACCCCAGTGATATACAGGGTGTCCCAGAAGTCGACGTCAAGCCGAAACCGGGTGATAGGCAAAGTCATAACAGCTATCGGAAAAACATTTAAAAAAAAATTTATTTATGTGTTTTGAAAATTATAGGTCTTTGAAAAAGATATAGAAATTTCACACCATACGGCAGTCTGTCAACTCCTGTTACTACAAATATTAACTTTTTTTGGATTTTATTTTCACAATGTAATGATGAATAATGCATCTTCAGACTGGTGTCTCTACCTTACTGCCAACTTTTCTCGTTCAGGAAAATTACCACTTATTTCCCAACCAAGTATTCCAAAGTAAAACTTTGCTCAACTTTAACTGGCTGTACTGGAAAAAATGTACTACGAGAGTTTGGCAAGTAACCCTAAAAGTTGGCGCATTTAATAAGGATTCCAAAATGGTATAACACTCAGAAGATTACTCGTTAACTTATGCACAATTTTTATTTGAAGAAAAACATATGAAAATTTTTCAAAATTTCCTAATTAAACAGCGATTATGAAAACGCACAAGGACCCTTAAGGATAACTGTTTGCACAACAGTGGGCATCAAACTGCTGCTGATGATGATTTACCTTTACAAAATGCTCAAACTGTTTTCCTTCAGCCGCAATACACGCTCGACATCTTCTTAAAAAGATCGGGTTATTAAACGAGCGAATCCACGGTTATTAACAAACTCAGCTGCTTCCAATAGTCTTTGCCACAGCTCAGCTACATTTTGAATCGGCTTGAAATACACTTTTTCTTTTACAGTTCCCCAGTAAAAAAATCTAAAGGATTCAAATCAAGTGATCGGGCTGGCCACGGTATTGTACCAGACCGCCCTATCCATCTGCCTGGAAAGTTTTTATCGAGATACTCTCTCACTGAGAGTGCATAGAGCGCTGGGCAGCCATCATGCTGAAACCACATGTCCCTGTAAATACTCAGTGGCACATCCGCCAATAAATTTTGTACATGATTTTTCAAAAAATCCAAATAAGCTTCAGCAGTCAAAGTCTCTGGGAACTCAAACGGACGGATTATTTTACCATTAATTTAAAAATCCTGTCCAATGGTTTATCTTGAAGCGATATTGAGATTTATCTTCTCTCATCAAATGTGGGTTTGCTACGTGCCACTCGTGTAAGTTATGCAGGTTCATGTACCCATCTTTCTTAAATGTGGTCTCATCTGACCATAAAATTTTTTCAAAGAACCGGGGATCTTCCCTGTGTCTTTCTAACATTGTGCGACAAAAAGCAACTCGGGGCTTATAATCCTGGGGCAGGAGAGGTTGAACACGCTGTGTGTGGTATGGATGAAGCACATCACTTACTTGCTATTGCACACTTTGATACCGCTTACTGCGCATCTTTACATGTTCGAGCTTGTTGATTTCGTACTGTTACTAATTTTGGATTCGTAAACTGGACTGTTTGTTGATCGCTTGTGATTTGGATTTGGACTGTTTAATTGCTCTTCAAAACAACATTTGCTTTCTTTAGACTATCTTTGATAGTGTGATTGTGCAGTGCCGCTATGTCACCAGTTTGAAGATGCATTATTCATCATTACATTGTAAAAATAAAATTCAAAAAAAGTTAATATTTGTAGTAACAGGAGTTGACAGATTGCCGTAGGGTGTGAAATTTCTATATTTTTGTCAAAGACCTACAATTTTCAAAACACATACATAACATTTTTTTAAATATTTTTCTGATAGCTGTTATGACTTTGATAATCGCCCGGTTTTGGCTTGACGTCGACTTCTGGTACACCCTGTAGGTATCAAATTATAGGGTTTCATGAGAGAAGCATAACAAGCAACGTGCTTTTTCCTGATAAACTGAGTTGTTGTCGACGCAAACTATTGTAAGTCCAATTTACCACAGATATGTTTACTTTGTAGAATATTGGCTAAATTAATACTCTATCGTATTCTGGTGGTGACACAAGACCCACATACAATATGCTTTTCATCAATCAGAATGAGAGAGAAGTTTTGCGAGGATGCCGGCACAAAGGTTTGTCTGTCGATCTGTGTATATGCAGCCGCAATACACGCTTGGATTAATATTACCCCACCACCGAACATTCCGGATATGTTGGATAGAATTGAGTCGCATAAAGTTACAGGATAGATTCGTTTGCACTAGATGCAGGGTGCGGTTTTCATAAATCGAGGAACATCGTATTTTAGGTTTTACTTTCTACACCAAACGCGAAGAATTTCGTCGTCGAGATATCGTATCAATAATCATTCTCCTAGTAATACTAGTCGCTAAATCCATATATGGAGGGTGACATAGTTTGAAGAAGAAAGTGGACCTGTTACTATGCGCCGCATTAGAGCCTTAGGACTTCTCTCATACCATCCACGGTTAGTGCTTCCTCTGACTGTGGACAACAAAAAAGTCCATGGCAGTGAGACCCGCTGTCGTGGGTGGCCAGAGCACTTTTTTGTTGGTGATAAAATTTCGAAGAAGCGCCATGGTATCTCTAGCAGCGTGAGGTGAGGCGCCATCTTGTTGAAATCATGTAAGCGGACTAGGCAGGATGTTCTCTTGATAATGGCAGAAGAAGATCATTGAAGATGTGCCAATAGAAACACCGTTCGCACTTATTGTCGGCCCTCGACAATTTTCGAAAAAATAGGGCACGATTATTCCATTACTGGATAATGCACACCAATTTTTAAGATTTAAATGGAAGTGGGCATCGTCACGTCAAAGGATAATATTTACCGTAGAAAATCATCTCACAGAAAATTTTTGCGCAATTCGTAATCATTGTGCTGGCACAATCTGAACTTTAGAAGGGTCCAATTTAAGATTCTGTTCATTATTTCGTGCACAACGGTCTTGGGCAGCCGCTCTCTTCCGCGGATAACCGTTCAAGCTGCACCCAGGAACGAATCAGTTCTTCACTTGAAGCATCATGTTTTCGTTGAAAATTGTACGGTGAACAAAATAGTCGACGTGCAGATAGACACGACACCTTCTCTTTGAAATATGTTTCGATTGCGAACGCGCGTTGTTCAACCGTCCTTTACGACATGTGACTAAAAATCCGCACGAATGACTAAGCTAGTGTGGCTCCTCCGCTTTCTGCTTAGCGATTACGGAAACATCTGAATTTGAAATCTGAATTCTGCCACCGAACACCAATTTTACTGAAGAGAGAGAATAACAAAATGAGACAGCCTTAAGTAATATTATTAGTCTAACCATTTTAATGTACAACAATATAGTTTTTACCGTTTTGATATACAGGGTGCTCGTTAATGATATGCGAATGCCAAAAAACGTCGCCAGAGATGTTCTCTGAATCAAATGATTGGAGGGTCCTAGGAATGACCTCATTGGGAAGTTCCAAGAACTTCTAATTTAGGGACGGAACTTACCGATCCAAATTGGGCCTGAATCGGACCTTCCAGAATCTAAGATTACTCTTAGGGTTAGGATCATATTGCTTCAGATCTCGATTTTGTTTTCCCTCGAACCGGTAATAGCGAAACCATATGTTATGCCGCGTTAAATTTCAATTTTCCGAGAGGAAATAACAGGAAAAGCGGGAGATAAATTTTCTCGTAGACTAACGAATTTATCCAGCTGAGTAAAAGGTATGGCAAAAACGGGGGCAATTTGAAACACAACGAGATAGAATATATATTTATTCACAGGTAGTTTGTTCT